CACACACAAACAAACCTTAAAGTAAAAGTTGAATAGAGGACTTTTTTTTGTGACACTACTTTTTCTCTGGTAGTGATCTGGGTGATTTGAAACAAAATAATGAATTCCACAATGATGGTTTAGATTATTCTCTAACCATTAGAAAATTGATAAATATGAATACACCCATATCAATCAGCTGGCTACTTGTAACTCATTTAACCCTTGTTAATCATTATCCCATGTTTGATAATTCTGTTAGCTCTGTGTGAGGTCCAGTCTGCTAGCTCAGATATTCTGGGCAACAACAGATAAAGAAGGAGCTGGGCTCTTGACAGCTGTGCATTTCTCCACTTGTATACATGGACTTGCTTGTGTTTCTTACTTGTGAAAGACTGCAGATGTGGCAGTGAGCACAGTGAAGTTTGACAAGTTAAGTTCTGTCTGCCATTATAAATAAAAGCTGTGGGCTACAGGGAACTACAGCGCACACAGTCTCAGAGCAGGAAAATAGATGTTTCTTCTTGATGTAGAACAGCATTATATATATATATGTGTGTCTAAATCAGAAATGGACTTAGTGAAAAAAATATTGTCCCGATAACAGTTGTATAGTAATTTGATAATTTGATTAATAACAGTAGAGCCACAATCACTTCAACAGCTTATCAGTATTATTGTCTTTGTAATTTATTCCTGGGCTGTGTTTAATACCAGGGTTCGGGAACTATCCCTAACCCGCAATTTATACTGGGTATCATAAAAAAGAAATGTAAATTCAGTGACCTCATCTGTGCTTTAATTTTGAAGTTTCTCAGTGAAGAGCCAAAAAGACATCTTTTTTTTCTGTGGTCATTTTTACCACCCAGAGCTTGTTCAAAACATGCATTAGGTTAAGTCTCTGTACCTCATCCCTAGATTAGACTGGGTTGGCTTTTTAAATCACCTTTAAGAGATAGTTCACTGTAAAATGAAAATTCACTCATCTACTCACCCCTATGCTGAGGGAGGGGGGAGTGTTTGAGTCCACAAAACACTTCTGGAGGTTCAGAAATAAACTTTGTTGCAGCAGAATCCAATACAATTGAAGTCAGTGGTGACTGGGACTGTAGACGTACTAAAACAACATGCCTCCATTCTGCTCTTGTGGTGTCATCCAAGTGTCAGCAAGCCCTAACATTCATATTCTACTGGAAACGGCTTCATTTACACCATGTTTCAAGTCTAAATGTCTGTTGATATCTTCCTATGAGGAGCGTTCACAGACCCTCTGATCCACCATCATGGAGCTAAGTCTGCTAGCTTAGCTGTTACTAGTGGAATTTAAGGCTTAAAACACGATGTAAATGACCTTGTTGCGAGTTAAATATAAATGTTGAGGCTTGCAGACACTTGGAATACACCACACGAGCAGTATGGAGGCATGTTATGTTATTTCTGTTGTTTTATTAAGTCTAAAGGTCTCAGGCATCATTTACTTCAATTGTATCAGATTCTGCTGCTACAAAGTTTACTTCTGAGACTCAAATGCTTCACCCTTCCCTTCTATCGGCATAGTGGTGAGTAGATGAGTGGATTTTCATTTTTCAGTGAATTATCCCTTTAAGCCTGGGATTTACTCTTTTTAATTAGGAAACACCTCACAGCATTGTAAAATCCCCATTGTCAAGCTACGATGTTTAATCCTGTAAATACTGGTTGTTTTGAATATAATGTGGTAATTGGCTTACTGGGGCCACTCATATACACCCGTACTCGTAAAGAAGACATCTGTCGTCTCTTAAGTACTTGTTCTGGGCCTCAGATCTTTTATGTGACTGACAGCAGTTCAGGCTTTAGGAGTGCTACTGCTGACTTTTCAAGGATAACTGGCATATGTTGTTATGACACAAATACATTTCATATTCTTAATTTTGAATCACTGGATGCCTTTTTTTACATAATGTCTAATGGCATAACAAGTGAGATGTGTTTGTTATCCCCTGGCATGTAATGCTCCATATGTAGTGATCACTGTGTCTGCTGGTCTGTCTGTAACCATTTCATTTCAGGAGTAGAACTTTGAAATTACCATCAGGATTTCTTTTCATGCAGCTTCACAGTCATGTTTATCCTGTAGTGTGTTCCCTTCTAATGTTTTGAGTTTGCTCGGGGGATATGTTGTCTATGATGAATCTTGTTTTTTAATTGAAAGCTTATAAAGTCCAAAATTGTCTGATGGAGGTAATAGCTAACCAAATAGCTAAATAATCTTTATAAACATCAGAGTTAATGTTGAATTGTATTAATGGTGCAATTAACCACAGTCTATTCTTAGAACATATTGAAACTTTACACTCATTTGGAAGTTTGGTTTTGATTGAGCTCATCTGTTTTCCTTGAGTCTGCATCGTTACACAAGGAAAATAATTCTCAAAATACCAGTAACATGGCATTGTTTAAACTTACTCATGTAATATCTATGCGCTGTTGGTAAAACAAAAGATAACAATTTACATTTGTAGCTGAATCATGCTGCTTTACCTCTTAAAGTGAATATTTATATTTGATCCATGTTATTTAGTTTTGACTGTACCTGCAGGTGCTTGATAGACTTCTCATATGTCTCATTTGAACTTTATTTCATTGAAGTGACCATATACTTCTGTTTGGTACCTGATATAAAGAATCATAAACCATATCCAGTCAGTTGCTTGTACTTTGACTCCATCTACTGGATACAGAAAGAACTTGTAGACCCACTATATCAGTCAGTAACTTTGTACACTTAAGATACATTGTTGTATTTCCTTGAACCCAAATTTATTTTATTGCAGCCATCGTGTTCGAAGTCCTTGAGGAAAATGTTTTTTTCCCTGTTACATTAAAAGAGTAAATGTGCAAGCCTTTCAGTACCAGATTCATGTCAATGTAAAGTCACGTTTTTGCTTTAACTAAGGTCGTTTGTACGAAAGACATTTGTCATCCACCACTGAGGCATGAATTTCAGTACTTTGGTACATCACCATACATAGTTTATGATCCAACTAGGCAGATTTATTGCCTGAGCAAGTCTCATACTGTGTCTAACTCCAGCGGTCTTAGTGTTGCTCAGTGATGGACTGTGCACAGAGTTAATGTTAGTGTTGTAACTTGTCATTTGCATAAAATGAAATATTAGTAGCAGGGGCTCAGACTCTATACAACAGTCAAGTTTGTGCTGTGGACAACTTTAGCATCATCTTTCCATCGGTGAGCGATGGTTTCTATTAATCTTACAAAAAGTACTGTAGTTGTGCTGTTGATCTGGGTTGGTTCGTGTCCACTGTACATGGTAGGAATTTACATTACTTGATATTGAGCAGTCCTTTATAAAATGTGGCTGGTTATACTTAAGTGTGTAGTTTGTAAATAAGGTGTAGCAGTGCAATTTATATATTAGTCATACAAACTACATACATGTCTATCACCCTTCCTTGATATACTGTGGTATTGATTCTAATGCATTTAAACAAATGTACACTCTGTTCATAGATTAAATCTGAGGTTTTCATCCTCCAGGTTGTTAAAACAGCTCAATAACAATGGTCTATTTTTGTGGGTTTCAACTTACAAACTACTCTTTACTTCCTACAGCAGTATACCACATTTTAGGTAGGTTATATACTTTTCTGGTTGGTGTATTATAGATGCGCGACCCAAACAGTCATAAATAATAAATGCTTAGTGCCAGTTGCATCAGTTGGACTGGAACTTCCCAAAATGACAGCTGTCATGTAATAGCTGTCTACTCATCCCTCTGCGGTCAGGTTGCCTTTTATTTTGCTACAGACTAAATGGACTAGCAATTCTAGCCCGGCTCTATCCTGAACAACATATGGAAAGTGATCATTTGTGACAGGTGGTCTGGTCTTTTGACATTTAACTGAATTGAGATACCTTTTACCTCTCTGTTTATCCTAAAGCACACAGCTTGCACGTTCGAAGTGTATCAGAATTACAATATTTATGTTAGTTGCTTTTCTTGCTTACAAAGATACTAGTGAAATTATTAATTTGTAAATTTAACGACTGAAAAGGTGTTTGCAGCGACATCCAATTAACAGGCTAATTTTTGTTGAGTTTGACAAGTGGAAAATCTGGTCCTTTATACTTGAAGAGAAATATCTACTAAATGTCTAATGACGCATTTTTTTCCCCAAGAGATATTGCAATTCAAGTAATTTTAAATGTCTACCTTTCCTTTGCTTCTCTTTCAGTTCTACAAACACGTTGTCCAGAGTGTAGAAAAGTTCATACAAAAGGTGAGTTATATTTTAATCAGGAAAAAACTAACAACAATCCCAAGTGCAGTTAAATCTTTCAAGCTACACCATAAATAATGCACATGATTGTTGCTCATACACTTGTCAATGAGTGTGATTAATGTTAATGTCTTTGTCAGTATTTTCTCATCAGAGAAATTGAATAGTTGCATAAAAAGGTACATTTAATAATGTGTAAACTGTCCCAGACAGTAAAATCATAGATTTATTCACAGTTTTTATAATACCCTCACAACTGCTGTGTGTTTCTGTATCACAGTGCAAACCAGAATACAAGGTTCCGGGGCTTTACGTCATCGACTCCATTGTCAGGCAGTCACGACACCAGTTTGGCACGGAGAAGGACGTCTTTGCCCCACGCTTCAGCAAGAATATCATCCCTACGTTCCAGCACCTCTACCGCTGCCCTTCAGATGATAAGGTCAGGCAGATTTAATAGCTTCGGTGTTCCTCTCTGGCTTTTCATTTTTGTGGCTTGTCATGGTTTAATGAGTTGGTATCAGACATTTGATATACAGCATGCCTCACTTGTACAGGAAAAGGTGATTTGATAAAAAGATTAATTTCATTGCATTTTTACTACAGTGGTCGTGTATTTACCACATTTATGTCACTTATTTATCGAATGTGTGTAAGTTTGTCTATGTCCTTCCTTTAAGTTGTCTTTGTCCTTCAAGTTGTCTTTGTCCTTCGTTGACTTGTTTCACATTTCACTGTTTTAATCTGTCATATGTGTTGTTGTTTCCAGAGTAAAATTGTGCGAGTGCTCAACCTTTGGCAAAAGAATGCTGTCTTCAAGAGTGACATCATCCAGCCTCTATTGGACATGGCAGCAGGGATTCCTCCGCCGAGTGTCACCCCTGTCATGCCAAGCAGCGCTGCCGCGGTCAACAACACTACACCTGGTCAGTCAGAGCACACATGCCCACTGATGCTTTGGTCAGATCACTTGTTTGACATCATGCTTTATAATACAACATCTGTGTCTATGTGCATCCAGGTACCCCAGCTACTCCAGCCACCCCAGCCAACCTAGTCCAGGGTCTGCCAGACTGGGCCTCTCAGATTACCAACACAGACACTGTGGCTGCTGTGGCACAGATCCTACAGAGTCCCCAGGGACAACAGGTTAGCGTGCATGTCCACTCCATGTATTCATTATTAAACTACTTAGGTTAAGGGTTTTGATTATGGGTAAATAAGATCTTTGTCTCATATGTCATCCTTAAGCTTCTGAGTTGCCTTAATTTCACACTGTAACACTCTTTATTATCACTTGTAGCTGCAGCAGTTAGTACAGAGTCTACAGATGCAGCAACAGAAACCCCAGCCATCCCTGCTGCAGGCCTTGGATGCTGGCCTAGTGGTGCAGTTACAAGCTCTGACGGCTCAACTCACTGCAGCTGCTACTGCCAACAGCCTCAACCCCCTGGAGCAGAGGGTTTCCTCCTTTAATAAAGTAAGGCTGGAGTCACAGCTGATGATTTCTTATGTCTTACAACATCTAAAGCCTCATGTAATTATGTTTTGTCTTTGCTGCAGAAACTTTTGGGTCCATTTGACTTTGGGAATGATTCTGAACGTGGCGACGAATCAAAAAAAGACAGTTCATCCTCTCAACTGTGAGTCCAGTGTGTTTTAGCATGACAATGTTTTTGTCTTTTCATTAAAACTACATTTGCAAAGTTTTAATGTCTAATCGAGCTGCTGAACACTTACAGACCTATGGTGTCCGAGCCGATCAACAGCTCCCTCTTCCACCAGTTAGCAGAGCAACTGCAACAACAGAACCTGGAGCAGTTTCAAAAGCAGCTGTTGGAGCACCAGCAGAAGGTAGATCTCAAAGACACACTCACCTTGCATACTGCTTTTGTTCCCAACCTTAGTTTCTCTATGTTCATCATTCTGTGTAATGGGTCTGGGCAATGTGGTGAAAAATAGTCTTACAATCTTGTTTTTTCATATTGATTTCTTAATTCTTGTGGTTATAATCATGCAGCGACTGGACATCGTTAAATTATTAAAGGAGCGGAAAATATCAATCAATTATCACGTCCGCATCGCAATGAAAGAATTGAGAAATTTCCCCACCTCTAGCGTGTTGGTGTTCACAGACAAATGATTCTGTATTTAAACATTGAAGATAACTTAGTGACAATATTGGCATTAAAAAAATAATTAAAAAGCAAACTGCCCAGAAGGACTGATTGCCCAGTTTGATAATCTGTGCACACCTACTCCAATGGCAGATCACCTACGAGTTATAATTCTTACCCTCCAGAGACAATCCGTTTAGATACTCATAAATATCCTCCTCTTGTTCTTCTTCCAGGCTATGAGCATAGAGGGGCAGGATTCAATTTTTGGGCAGGAGAACTCTGTTGCGACTGCTCAAAGCATCAGCCAGCCACAGCTTCCTGAGTCAGAGAACAAGATGGATGACTCAATAGACAACCAACAGCAGGTAAGCCTGGTTAGTGGGCCACTGCCAAAACTAAGCAAATCATATTGTTCTATATCTTGGTAATAGTAATGGAGGGAATGTCCCGGTATGAGGACCTCACAAAGCAGTGTTGCTGTAGCTCTTGGCCCTGATCTGATAATTACTGCTGTTTTCTGCGTTTGCATTGTTGTGTACAGAGGCACTGAAATACTATTTTTCATTTAAGGACATGGATCTGGACGAGGGCCCAGATGGAATGGAGGAGGAGAGCTTTGAGGCGGAGGAGAAGAAGACTGTTAGCACACGCTCCAGAACACGCTCAAGGTCACGCTCCAGGTCAGGCCCACTTATTTCAGAAATCTCATTTTGTAGTTGAATTGACCAAATGTGCCTGGAATATTAATCAAGAAAGAAGCAGAGATCCTTTAGTCTTGATAGAACAGAACTGATTGTGTTGCCCTAAAGGTCGGATGAGTCAGTATTGATACTAAACTTATTTTGCTTCTTACCTCAGATGATGCACTCACTTACCTGTGTTTTCTCTGTGAACCCACTCTATTACATTAAGTGTTTTTATTAATATTTGTTATCCCGAACAGATGTTGGTTTCAGATGTTGGTACCAAAATCCTTTAATTACAAACACCAGCAGCTTTTTTTTTAGTGGCCAAATGTTAAATGGCATTATGAGCTGGGAAAATGGGTGTTGATGCTCATAAATAGCTCAACTCTGGTTTTACAATGATCATGGCAGAACAGTTACAGTCTGGGAAGTATCTCTAAAAGTTGGTGTCCCCTCTGTAGGTCCCCCAAGAGGAGGCGATCTAGGTCCCGCTCTGGCTCACGGAAACGTAAGCATCGCAAACGGTCACGCTCACGCTCTAGAGATCGCAAGAGGAAGTCCTCACGGTCTTATTCTAGTGAGAGACGCGCCCGAGAACGAGAGAAGGAGCGACAGAAGAAAGGGCTGCCTCCCATAAGATCCAAGACACTAAGTGGTAAATGGAAGTGGTTGTTAATTTAGATTTTGTTTCCTGCCAGTGTGTTTTATTATGAGTAATACTTTTCTATTCTCTTGCCTAGTGTGCAGCACAACTCTGTGGGTGGGCCAGGTGGACAAAAAGGCCACTCAGCAAGACCTCACCAATCTGTTTGAAGAATTTGGCCAGATTGAGTCTATAAATGTAAGTAGACATCTCCCACGGCTGAGCCTGTTATTGAGTTACAGCATGTTAGCCAGCCCTTTTATCTCCAGAATCTTAAAATGAAAACTGGTAAACGAGCCACAGTCTTTCGTCACCATACTGTGACCTTAAGCTGCTGTCATTTTTTTTCCCACTCCCCTCCATAGTTTTCATTTCTTTCTACTTTACACATACACTACCTGACTCCCTTTCTCATATGCACATTTCTCATTAATCACACAGTCCTAGTTAAATGGTCATGTCGTCCCCTTCTCTTATGTAATGTAATCTGTGTGTCTTTACAGATGATCCCTCCCAGAGGCTGTGCCTACATCTGTATGGTCCACAGACAGGACGCATTCCGAGCCCGCCAGAAGCTCAGCACCGGCTCCTTTAAGATCGGCTCCAAGATCATCAAGGTGCACATTACCTTTAGAATTTAATTTATTATAGTCACCTTCTCCTTGTGGTTTCCTCTAATGTAATTTTCCATTGACCTTTTAATGCTGTATCCTCAGAGACAGTTTAAGCTTTCCAGGCACATGGATTCTTGTATGCTCCCAGAAATTAAAAATGCTGTCTCTTGACCTTCGTGTGTGTGTCTGATCCAGATTGCGTGGGCTCTGAACAAAGGGGTAAAGCAGGAGTACAAGCAGTTTTGGGACGTGGATCTGGGAGTCACCTACATACCCTGGGAGAAGGTGAAGCTGGATGATCTAGACGACTTTGCTGAAGGAGGAATCATTGACCAAGAGACCGTCAACGATGGTGAAAAGAAACATTTATACTCAATAACATCTTCCTTTGAACAAATAAACAAGAGCTAGATCTGTTGACTCTGTAGCAATGATTGTTTATAAGTAGGACCGGCAAGTTTTGTACACAGTTGTTGGCATTTGATCACAAAACTGGATTTGTTTTCTACCCATTTCCCTCAGTTTGTTTTGTTATGGTAATACACAAAATCCTTTAAGAAATTCCATTGGGACCCCCCCCCCCACCTTGATAAGAAGATGAAGACAACGATTTAGTGTGGAAGCTACAGTTAAACTCCCTCATCTAAAATGTGTTTTGATTGATTTGTCTGTTTCTGCAGAGTGGGAAACAGCCAAGAGTGCTGAGCCAGTGAAGGAAGTTACGAGTCAGCAAGTGAGCGCTGAGACCGCAGCTGTATCAAACTCTCAGACTGAGGCATACAACCAGCAGGTTACCATGATGCCTGTACAGGTACTGAAGAGCGTCTCTATTAATCTGTGGAAAACATGGAAAGACTACAGGGACAGATGCATGTTTTGATTCACCCAAACTTCCTGAAGAAAACATTGTGTAAATGGAGTTAAAGTTGAGTTTCGTATAGACCTCCACGTCTTCCTTTTTAAGGAGAGTAATGGGTCATAATGCATCTTTCTTCATAGAAAGACTAAGACTATCTTGATCTGGTAAAAATGGACAGAGACACAGGAATAAAACCCATTAAGACCTAATTTCCCAAATAAAAAGGCATTCTAAAACCTTACCACCTAAAACCTGAGGGTTTTCTGAAGAGCTGACAGCATGAGTTACAGACATCTGCAACTCAATTATGATAATTCCACTAACAGATACCTACAATTTAATTCTGATTAGTCATAATCCACAATCCAAAGTTCAAGATGTCTTTAATTCGCATTAATTTAAGAAACCTTTAATTAAGTTTGAACTCATCAGTGTGGTGGTGTAAATGTCATGAACTTGAATTAATGATTATAATGTAAGAACACAATATAATAATTAAACTGAATTGTAAACTCATTATTAATTGATAAGGATAAACCACACATATATGAATGGCAAAAGTAGTTTGAATCTTACTATTCAGTTGCAGACATAGTAAATTAGAGTTTTCAGTAGTTAAAACAGAATTAATTAATTAATTGTTTTGACAGGTCCGAAAGTATCTTATATAAAAATACTCACTGGTCACATTGAAAGTATGAGCAGTCAAAATTATGACATTAAGTCAAATATTTATATTTAAACTTGGTTTAGAAAAGTAAAATCACGAGTCCCTCACAGCAGACAAGATGCACTGGGTTGACTTCCTGTCTGTATTTACACATAACCTTCCATCAGGTGGTTTTTGTGTTTTAGAATACAACTGTTTTTGAACAAGTTTTTGTTCCACTGCTTTGTGTTCGCAAACAGCACTCCCTCTCGTTTCGTGTGAGAACATTTTCCATTCAAACCTCAAAGACAACCTGTGCAGAGCTGATTTCACATGACACAGCAGCACAACATTACTGTGGTAAAAGCGAGAGAAGAAAAAAAAAAAAAGGAGCTCCAGTATGTTTTCTCTTCAAGTTCACACCACAGTGATGTTGTGCTGCTCGTTAACTGTGTTGTCACATGAGCTGCTGCGGATGTTTGCTGCGTATTATAACAGACCTGCCTAATTACTAACTAAATTAGTTGCCAACAATTTTTGTTGTATCACATAAATTAGCCATTGCACTGTTAGCTCACGTGTGTCACATATCTCATCCAGATCCCAGTTGCCCAGGCGGTTCCCAGTGCAGTAGGTTTGGTACCCCCCACCTACCCTGTCCCCATGGGTATACCCCCTCCTGGCTATGGGCCACCACCACCCTTCATAAGAGCTGGCTTTAATGCTGCACAGCCTCCACCAGGTAAATTACGCAAACTTAAGTCATATGAAGATTAGATCCAGAGAAATTCACAAACTTACACACGCTTTTCTGTTATGCAGGTTTTATGCAGGCAGCACAAACCGCAGGCATGGCCTCAGCAACTACTTGTAAGTATTTATGACATACTCCTCCTAAAACTAATTCATGTTTATAGTTTTGAAATTGGCAAAGTGTCCATTCACATGAGTTACCTGGAATTTATTCTTTTTTTGATTCAATTTGATGTTTCTCCTTTAATCACCTACAGCTCTAGTGCAGCCTTCAGTGGCTACCAGCCAAGATGCTGTCAAGGATTCTCTGTTCAGCGCTATGATCCCTCCGACCAGCACCATTCCTGGAAGCTTCATGCCATCAGCCCTCCCTGGAGCTGGTGTGTTCAATCCAGTGGGAATCCAAACTCAACAAGCCACCAATGAGAAAACGGCTCAGTCTGCAGAGGGACTAGATGCTGCTGCAGAGCTCACACTTCAAGGTGAGGTTAAGTTAAAGAGACAAATGTATTTCTTCTGGTGGACAGTAGATCATATCTTGTAAAGTAGTGTAGAGCCTTTATTTGGGTTGTGAAGGTTAATTGTGTTTTAACATTTCTTTTTTGTATTTTGTCCTCAGGCATGCAAAATGCAGTCCGGAGTGGGATGGGTCTCCTTGGCATGCACCCTTCAGCTTCCCTTACCCACCCGTTGCATCAGTCTGGTCTCGCAGGGCAGAGAATGCCTGGCCTGTTGCCTCTAGATGTGCGACCCAACCTCCTACAGCCTGGGGCCGCAGCCCGCTTCCCACTCCTCCTGCAGCACGGCCCCACCCAGCAAGCCGTTGGCCTCCTTGAAAGTTCTCTCCAGGCTCAAGCTCGTGCCAGAGCTCCCTTCTCTCAGCTAGACCCCTTCAACAGAGCCCCGAATCTTACCAATGAAAATGTATCCAAGACAGAAGACAAGTCTTCTGCTAATGCTGATGAGGGCAAAGACCAGGACTATCGCTTCCCCCCGATGGAAAAGCCGAGCACGGGCCTGCTAAGGACCCCTCCACCAGACCATAGGGAGACCCTTGGAGGTGGAGCAGGAGGTGGAGCAGCAGGCAGACCTCCTTTGCTCCAGACCCCGGGCTCTCAGCCCCCCAGAACCAGCCTAGTGGGACGACTGCAGGCTCTTGCAGGCTTCACTCCTGATAACCGGTGGAACCAGGCCAGAGGGGACTTTGATGAACGAGATGGGATGCGAGGAGGCCCACAGGCTCCTGGTGGTCCAAAAGGCTTCCAAGAGGAGCGCCCCACATCTGGACAAAATTTCCCCAACCGCTTTGACAGCCGTCCTGGGACAGCAGGAGGAGCTGGGGCTCCTGCAAATGCTGGTGCTGCTGGTGGGCCACAGACCTGGAACCGAAGTGGTAGCACTACAGCGCCTTTTGACAGCGAAATACACCAAGACTTAGATGAGCGAAGACGCCCGTGGGACAGGCAAAGAGACAGAGACGAAAGAGATTTTGATTTCAGGAGGGAGTTGAATGGTAACCGCCACAGCCGAGAGAGAGATCGTGAGAGGGAGAGGGAGAGAGACAGAGAGCGAGGCCGAGATCACAGCAGGGAGTTTGAACGGGAGAGAGAGCGTGACAAAGAGAGAGACCGTGAACGTGAGCGTGAACGTGGGGGCTGGACACCTCTCCTTCCTCTTCCTACACCTCTGCTTCCAACTCCACCTCTTAATCCTAACCTGACCTTGAACCAAGGTAAAATGCTGGCACCACTCAAATTAAACCCCCAGATTCAGCAACGATTCCAGTCTCCACTCCTGCCTCAAGCTCAGGCCAAACCCCCCCTCATTGGTCTGAATCAGCCGCTCCCTCAGGTTCAGATCAAGACTCCATCTCCATCACAGAGCCAAGCAGATACGCCCGAGGCCCAGTCAGAAACACCAGCTTCGTCTGAGACACCTCAGGCACAGTCGCCACCCGAAGCCCAATCACCCGAAGCATCACCTGATAATAAAGTTCAGAGCCCGTTGACTGATGCTCCCATTCAGGCCAAGTCACCACCACAGTCTGAGACCCCTCCACTGTCAGAATCCGAATCTGAATCACTATCCCACCCCACAGCCCAGTCCCCCTCCAAGACCACTGCTTCCCCAGACATTGAGAGCCCAAACCAAGCCCTAGCTTTGGTTGAGGCATCACCCCAGGACTCACCTGTGGCCTTCACACAAGCTGCCAGCCCCCCTGAAGAGCCGACCCACTTAGTAGAGGAGCAGGACAGCCCACAGAAGAGTGAGGAGGAGGAGTCACAAGATAGTGCCTCCTCAAGTCAACCCCAGTGGGTCGACGGACCTGGGATGGACAATATCGATGTGGCTGAACCCACACCCGAGGGCTCTCCTGAGCCCATTTCAGAGCCTACCTCTGAGTCTGTGCACTCTGAAAGTGAAGCGGAGCAGCTTGCCTCTCCTAAGGACGTAGACAATGAACAGAGTGAGCCCATGGAAGAAGCTGCGAGTCAGCCAGTGGTAGACACTGTCACAGACACTGAGGGGACATAATCATCACTCAGTAGGTAAAAGATCATTTTGTAAAGTTGTCTCTTCTTCTCTGTACTCATGTCAGCAAACCACCACCTCCACCACCACACGGGACATGACGAATACTGACTGATAACAAATGATTTTATCTCTCACAAATACCAGTGTACTTAAATAGAAGGCTCGTTAGCTGTTTTATTGATAGACATTTTCTTTGTATTTTATTTCCGTTTTTATTTTTTTAAGTTGTAATGCCACCCCACCCCCATTTTATTCAATTTTATCAAATTTTACTGGATTTTATCAAAAAGCCTGCCAAAATGTTTTAATTGTATATGGGGAAAATAAGCTTTGACCTTCCTATGGAAGAGAGTAAGACATCCTGGCTGTTCAACAACAGATTGAAAACAGTTTACCACAATACTTGAATGTGGCAGTCGCTGGCCCTGTTTCTGTCTCCTCTTATTTTAAAAATGCTGCTGCAAAGTTTTCAGTGAATGCTTTTGTGGTGTCCTACAATGCTTTCTGTTATCAAGCAGAACAAATAGCCTCCGTGCAGTGAGACCAGTACAGCTGCTCATAATTGGGAAAAAATATGAACATTTTTAAAATAAAAACATGAAAATGTTGTATCCCCAGAATAAATGTCTGCAATTTGTTTCTAACTATCTAGTAAACACAAACAGAAAATGACAGGGGGAAGAAAAAGAAAATGAACAGAGGGATGTCCTCATGTCAGGTGCATATTGTTTTAGTTTGAAATAAACATGCTTTGTCTGTTCTAAAACACATGCTTTAGGACTGTTTTCTGACCCAGGACCAGTGGAAAGTAGGACAGATTCGTACACATTGTGTGCTATCACTGCAGTTGATTTTACATTCTCGCAACTCAAGTTGCTGCTGTACCATCCATCCACAGAGCGCTTTGTTGGATGCAACCGTGGGACGTGTAGTTTTTTTAGTTTCGGATGACATCAGCCTGTATGTTTCCCCCTAAGCTTTTGCTGGGTGACTGTTGAGGATGGGATTGTGCCTTTTTTTGAATGGATTTTGTCGTTCATGATGCGACCCCAACACTACTGTGTGACGTACACCAGACAGCGTACTCCTCAGTTTCAGACAGCTCTGTGAACAGAGCTCTCTGCACAGAATTGACTGGCCTACCGTTTGAATGGTAGCTGGGCAGTTTGTACAGCACTCACCTAGAGGAGGACAATATATATATACTCCCATTGTTCCTGTGCATGCAGGCCTGTAGCCATGTTTTAACCTTGTCTCTTGTTCATTTCATAATTGTAGTTCTTTTTCTGTCGAGACATACTACTAGACACCCATAGTCTGCTGTTCTCTCAGACCAAATGTCTACAGGAGTTGTGATGTTGAATAAAAGTTGAAGGTGCATAAGATTTTTCTTTACCGCTCTTATTGTCATGAATCACCAATTCAGGCCGATCGGATGAAGTTTGGCAAAGACATCAACACTGCTGCTTCAAACTTGAGCAGGATTCAGCTGCGATAAGTAGTACTTCAACTAAGCACATGTTAATTTAGTCCAATAGATTCTAAACTGACATATCTTGTATAGCAGGTTGTATATTTAGTAGTAGATGTATTACATGCTGATTTCAAGATTCCTTCTCTTTACTAACTAGAATGGCATTCAGAGAGCACATACCTCCACCAAGCCCAACAGTCCCCTTACGAAACATTTAAATTCATTAGATTTGGATTTTCATTTGAATATCAGTCATCACAGTTTTTTCATCACCGACCATGAATAATTCTTAGAGAAATAAATGAAAATATTGCAAAACCCTGGATCTGCCTCTGATCTGAATCTGCACTACAATGTAGTGGATTCTTTCCTGACCCATACTGCATCCTTCCACCAGGTTTCATTGTAATCCATCCAGTAGATTTTGCGGTACCCTGCTAACTGACAAACAATGAAAACTTCCTCTGCGGAGGTAAACATTTAGACTGTAGACTGACTCATAGGTGCTTCTTAAAATTGATATTCAGCCACTATAAAGGGCCTCCCTAGTCCTGCAACTCTGAATAAAGGTCAATGCCACACTGAAACCACTAAAGTATTTATTTCACACCTAGCAATAAAGGTGTAGTGACTAAACCAAATGCCCTTGCCCTGAAGTAGCCATGTTTTCTGCTGAATCCAATAAAAAGTGCATATTTCTCCCAGGAGACGGTTATAAGTAATATATTAAAAATGAGCATAATAAGCAGCCACAGAACGGAAGGGGGAGGAGGGAGTAAACTGATGAGGGAAATGAAGAAGAGGCAGGAGAGGATACTGTATACGTTATCCCCCTCCCCTCACCCCCCAAACACACACACACACACCCTCCACCCTGCAGTGCCAGAGACCTGGCTGCTACAGCTGCAGGAAGTGCACACTCAGCACACACCATGCAGCACCTCTCTACTAATTTACGGCCCAGCAAACACAAGCTGGGGGATTTATTTAAACAATCACCTACATCATGGTGTCTGTTGATGCCATTTCAGCGCTTTGTATTTTTAGCAGAGAAATCAGCGAGAGAGGAGCTGCATTGCTGCAAAATGCCTTAATCTCAATTACACCTGAGTTTAGCCTGCTTATCCAAGCATTAACAGACAGATTAAAGTAAAAAAAATAAAAATACACATCTCGCGGGTCGGTTGTGGATTAAGCATCTAGTGGCTTTTTTTGTTGTGGATAAAGCAGAGCGTAAAATATCCAGTTCTGCGTCTTCTCTTATGACTCTGCCCATAAATTTCTAGATCCTACCTGGCTTCCAGAGGCCCCCGGGCAGTCGGCTGAGTCCAGGACTCGCCTTCTGACTCCCCCTCGCTCCCTCAGAAAGATTTGACAGGCTGAGACTTTGAATCAACCACTATCTGCCCTGAAACAGACAAACGTGTAAACAGCAGTTGGCTGGGGCTCCCGTGGACAGCAATAAAAATAAATCCTCTCCACAGAGGTCTAGCTTAGCTCAGTTATTTATCTGTGGCAGAATAAAGGCCCCACAAAAATAAATAATACATTCAAACAGGAGATGCAAGAGGGTGAAATATCAAAATGTTGATGTTTTCAAACAGGTTTAAGGAATAGAATAGCAAATAATGTTTTGATTTTCTTTTACTGCTAGCTTAAGATCAAAGCCAACGTAGCCACAAACCTGGCTGTCTGATGGTGCTCCTGTGCCGAACCATTTCAACATAATTGTCAGCTTATACATAATATACACCCCATGCAATGCCCATGGGAATGCACTAAAGCAGGCCTGACCTTTAGCCAAAGATTACCTCAGCATGGGCAACTAATAAGAGCATCTAAGCTCTAAAGACATGAAATAATTATACACTGGTAGTTAATCCTGTAATAGTAATGTGTGGTTTTTATCATAGAGGGTCTCAGCTGAAAGAGGAATTAAATTAGACAATGCTGAGTTAGCTTGTAAATGGTTTTACTATGACGTGAGAGAATCGTAAAATCTACCAGTCTAATATGATCTGGAGATGTCAAACATCAAGGCCCAATTAGCTCTGAGAGGAGCAGGTTAAAGTAGTTTTAGTTATACTGGAGAGTAGTGGTTTATTTCCACAACCTGTACAGTGCCCCTGATGACATTAAAAGGACAAGTCAGTGGTGCTGTAATGTCAGTACCATGTCTCACCATTGGAGGTCAGTGTGGTACTGCAGCGCACCTCATTATGCTGGGCAAAGGCGTGTGCTCTGTGCAGATTAGTGTCTGGTAGTGCTACATCTCAAAATCTGCAGTGCTCACCTCTCTTACCTTCAGTGCTTCACTCTCACAGACAAATAAAAGCCCACTGGGTCCAAGTCGAAGTACGTCTTACATGATATGAAATGAAATCCCAACATCGACAGAATGGAATAGGCGTCAGAGAAAATCGCTGGCATGCAGGATCATCATGGTGCCACCTCGCAGAAATTCATCCCTCAGATACCTCTCTCCATACCTTTACTCGGATCGATACAGTGGAGCAGTGTGATAAATGGAATAAGGTCCTTTCAGTGTGAGATTTGGCCTGTTTCTGCAGCCTCTTGGTTGCTGCATTCTTAATTGAATAAAGCTATTGATAGCCGCCTTAAGCCTCTAGACTAAAATCAGCCATGGCCAGATACGCAGATATCAAGCACACGCTAGAGTCTGTGCCAAGTGCAGGGAGACAGAGTGTCTTTGTTAGTCATGAGCACCAGAGAACAAAAAACAGGACTATTTTTCATACACCTAGTTATGCAGGAGAGGAGTCCCCTATCTCAGCCACACTCAGCATCCACAGTTATTACTCACGACTGTGGGAGTGTGTGTAAGTCTGTTATCAGGGCCAGCAGACTGTTGGGGGCCTGGACTGAGGTGCCCCAAACTTACCCCTCACCCTGGAACTTAGCCTTGTTAGGAGTTCAGTGGCCCCTCCGCAGGCCGCACCCTGCTGCACATTGGCTCAGAGAGGCAGAAAGGTCACTGGGTTGTCCCATTGTTCCACTGGAAGGTGAGAGTGTAGGAAGTTAGAGCGAAGGCAGCCGAGGTGGTGTTTGGTGGTTTGCTCAAGGGCAAAAGGGTTTATTTCTACTTTTCATTGGATGATTGAAAAGTCTGCAGTCCTAAAGCTCCAATTAAAGGATTTCTTTGTAATTGATTCATGATATCTACTGTGATATATATGATTGTACAAAATGGATTGTGGGTATTTAAGATGGCGACTCTGTTGTTTATCAGTAGTCTGCGGAAGTGCCAAACTCAAAATGTCACAGACAAATAAAAGAAATCCCTTAACTGAAGCTTTGGAGGTGCAGATTTTCTCTTTTTCAAATATGTTTTGAGAATTCAGCCCCCATTACATCCCCATGAAAAGTCTGGGGATCAATAAAGTCATTAAGATTCATCCCCTGTGGACCATGAATCTCTGAATTCTGTGATAGTTACGCTGATATTTTAGTGGTGGACACTGGCCAGCTCACTATTTCCACCAAGGAGGTTCAAACCTTGTCTATTTGTTTGTTGGTTGGTTTGTTCAGCAGGACTACTGAAAAAACACTTGTGAATTGATTTCCACAAAACTTAAGGATGGTGCATTGGCCAAGACAGAACCCATTTTCTTCCTTCTATCGGCTTTATTTTCACCAATTTCTCAGGCTATAGTGAAGGGATCTTAGTAAAAAAAAAATTTAAAAGACAAATTTAGGGGACTGAGTTTGGTGTGCGAAAATCAAATCAAAATCCAGGTGTAGTGTATTTAATTGTAGTCTCATATGGGAGTAGGCTTTTTTCAGCCTCTGTACAGTAACAAGTAGGGCTACAAATCAGTAACTACCACCAATGTGTAGCTGATATAATGTGGAGTTTACTTGTATCCTCAATAGTTTTAGAAATACATCCAAACAAATATGATGCTGAATTTAAGGGGACTGTTGGGCCTTTACTGAATGCTGTTATAGTTGTTGCATCTTGGCCCAACAAACACATTGAATCATTTGAAGTAATGCCTCACATATGTGAACACACGCAGCACAGAAAGCCTCTGGCAACATTTTAACACTTAACCACAAACAAATGTTGGACCACAACTTTTATTACAACAGATTTATAACACAAGTTCAGTGAATCTCAAAGTA